ATCACTAAGGAACTCAGCCTCAACCACCCCAGAGGGGTATGCACCCCGTGGCTCCCAGGGCTCCCCTCCAAGCCCAGCTCCAGTGAGTCACGCTCCCCCAGAAACGGCTGCCTCTTCTGGGAGCGCCACGCCTGCCTATGCCTCCCAGCTCCACTCGCTCTGCAGCTGCCATAGCATCCTCAGGCCCTGGGACAGACACACAGCTGGCCACCTCTCAGGACAGAGGTTTTCAAACCACTTAAGCCCAGAAGCCCTCCTCCAAACAAAAGCTCACGAGGTCATCTGGTTTGTACAAGCCAGAGGCAGAGCTGCTCCAGTTGAAGCAGGTAAGGGTCTGAGTGTGGCCCCCCCAGCCCCTGGCTGTCAGCCACGGGGTACCTCAGCAGAGTCTCTAGGCTTCCTCCTCAGAAGTCTGAGGTCCTTGCCCACTTTTAACTCCTGGCTTAATAGCCCAAGTCAACCCAGCTGTCTCAGAAACTGCCACCACGGTCCCCCTCACTGGCTCACTATACTCCCCTCGGCAACCCTTACCCACTTCCTTCCATTCTGTGGATAAAGGGTCAAGTCTGGCCTCCAGGGCCTGCCTGCATTCCTGGAGCCTGAAGGGGCAGTCACCATGCGGACAATGCCCTGTGTCTCCCTGAACTTGGGAGAAAATGCCTAAATCGTTTTACAAGAATCTTTCTCTGAAAACTCCCAGAAAGTAGAGACACTGGGGAAGCGGGTATATGGAGAAGATTCTTTATCCTGTCAGGTGGAAAGTCAGGCATGGGGGTTTGGCTGGACCAGTCTAACCCTTGGGATGACTCCCCCCCACCCAACTACTACAAACAGACACGAGCCCGGCACTGTGCTCAGGGGACCTTTCACACACGGTCCCCAGGCCTACCACTGAGCCCTGGCCTGCTCCACATGCCTGGAGCTTTCCCTGGACACTCACTCAGACGGGTTCCACCCTCAGGTGAATTCTGAGGCCTTTGCCATTGCTCTGGGCTGACATCTGGGTCCCACCAACTCTGTGGCCCTGCAAGCTGGAGCTCAGCTCCCTCCTGTAGCTGCCAAAAGACGGCTCCTTCCTGGGGCTTAGGGAACGGTCTCCTTCTGCCCTAGAAGCCACCTCCTCGGACTCCACGGTGCAGCCTGACAAAGCTGTGGTATCTTCTATGTGGAGTGATAGTCACACAGTACCTGGGGACCCCTCACACACACACTGTCCCAGGGTGCTCGGCCTGGGGCCCCCTAGTAGTTCATGTGGAGGAAGACAAAGTTCCAGCCCCTGTAGCTCAGCCTGCTAGAGAGCCAGGGGCTGTCATGCAGACCACAAAGCTGGGTTCCAGCCATCCCTTCCGGAATCCCCACAAAGGCTTCTCTTTGGGCTCCTCAGAGGGATACTCCAGGCTGTTGCTGTCCCATGAGGCCAGTCCTGCCCCAGCTCAGGCACATCTACAACTGCAGGACATCAGCTGCTCTCCGCCTCCCCCACCAAAGCTCTCTAAGGCCCATCACCCCCTCTCCTGGCCCCAGCCTCTGGGGAGGCAGGCAAGCCTGCCAAGCCCTCCCACCCCTCCTCCTGGCAGTAGGGCTCCTGGCCTCCCTCACCCCTCCTAAGAAAAAGGGCAAGCAGCTGCTGTCATTCCATTTGAAGCACCTCCACGGCAGGCGTAGCCTCAGATCCAGAAAGAGGCGAGAGGTGGAGAGGGGGAGCGTGTACGTGTGTGCACGCACACACATGCACACACACACTCGGCTAAAGGCAGCCAGCTGTCAGGGCTGGGAGAGTCAGAAGCGCCCAGAGCCTCATTAGCAGCCTCCTTTCTCTGACCCCAGGGAAGTGGGGAAGAGGGCAGGGGTGGGAGGGAGCCTGGTACTCCCTTCTCTCTGTCTCCTGGGCTGAGAGGCACAGGGCCAGCCCCCTCTCCACAGCAGGCAGAGACCTGCACACAGAGCCACCTCTTCCTTATTTCTTACCTGGCTTTGTTCCCCAAGGCACAAGATTAGACTAAACATGGGGGCACAGGTGACCCTCCCAGAAACAAGCAGAGGACCCTGGGCCATCCCTCCACTTTGGGCAGCCTGGAGTCCCTCACCCTCGCAGCTGCTGGCCAAGGCCACACAAGCATGCCTCCTAGACATCCGGGGAGAAGCCCCTTGCTCTCCCCCTATATCCCTGGTTTCCTCATCCCAGAGAGAAAGAGGATGGTACTGTCCCTGCTCCAGCCCCCAGCCGAGGAGTCTCCAGCCCAGAGCACGGCTGACAGGCTCCCACAGGAGGGGGAGGAAGGGGGAAGGGCTCTCATCAAAGAGGTGACGTCAAAACCAGGCAACTTGTGAAGCTGTCAGGGGCCGGGAAATTTGGACAAAGGTGTCTAAAAATAAACTCCTGAAGCCAAGAAAAGGCTTTGGTGGCTGGGTTGCTCGCCGCCATGCCACATGCCCATGCTCTGTTCTGAGGTCTGGAACCTAGGGAGTCTCTTCCCAGGGGTCCTCTTCCAAATTGGCCCTTGGGGTTGAGGACGGCACAGACAGGTCCTGAGACAACACACATCGGCCCTTCCTTAGGTGAGATGGGTGAGGCCCACCCTCAGAAGGCATGCTGAGCAGGCCTTGGGCACTGAGGTCTCCCTTCCTGTCCTCAGCACCCCAACTCCTGCCTCACCCTGCCGTTAGCCTCCAGCCCCAACCCTGCCCCCAGGCAAGCATGCCCCTGCCCAGTTCCTGCCGGCTGCCACCCTTCAGCTCACAAAGGAGACCCGTCTCTGCCCTCTCCAGGCCCCTGCCCTCCCTGCCAAGACAGCCTTCCCATTTCCAGCTCTTCTCACCCTGTTTCTCCCCTTCCAAAGCCAGAGCTGGTGACCAGCACCTCATTTCTCCAGGACCTGGCTGAGCTCCCATTTCCATCAAGGCCAGACCCTCTCCCCCAAGCTGCTATGGAGAACAAAGCCACAAGGCTCCTCCAAGTCCCCCAAGTTCCACTCACACTGACTTTCTTTTCCTGTCCCCTGACCCCAGCCATACTGACCACACCCTCTGCGCAGCCCTGCCTGCCACAGGCCATCAACTGCCTGCCTGATCCCAAAGAGACTAGGAGGCTCAGGGCAGCCTCCCAGTTAAATACCAATGGACTGAATTATGTCCCCCCAAAATGTGTATATCAATTTGGCTGGGTCATGACTCCTGGTATTGTGTGATTTTCCTATATGTTGTAAATCCTGCCTCTATGTTAATGAGGGAAGGTGGGTGGCAGTTGTGTTAGTGAGGAAGGACTCAGTCCACAAGACTGGATTGTGTCTTGAGACAATCTCTTGAGATATAAAAGAGAGAAATGAGCAGAGAGACAGGGGGAGCTCATACCACCAAGAAAGCAGTGCCAGGAGCAGAGGGCATCCTTTGGACCTGGGGTCCCTGCGCAGAGAAGCTCCTAGTCCAGGGAAAGACTGATGAGAAGGCCCACAGAGAGAAAGCCTTCCCCTGGAGCTGATGCCCTGAATTTAGACTTTTAGCCTACTTTACTGTGAAGAAATAAATTTCTCTTTGTTAAAGCCACCCACTTGTGGTATTTCTGTTATAGCAGCACTAGATGACTAAGACAGTCCCCAACCACATCCATCAGACCAACCCTCTCTCTGAACTCCAGACTCTTGGTATACACGTCACTGTTGACCCCACACCACCACCCGATGTCTCTCATCAGGCAGCTCCACTGACACAGCCTACAGAGCTGATGTGCCCCCCCAAACCATGTCCTCCCTCAGTTCCCCACATCTCAGTGAAAAGCACCACTACCTGCTCAGGCCAGGGGGAACTGGAACCCTCTGTGACTGCTCCTGCCCCTCCCCTCCCCCAACATCCAACCCACTCACAAGTCCATCAGCTCTGCCCCAAAATAAATCATAAATCTCCCCCTTGTCAGCACCTCTATAGCCAATACACTAGCCCAAGCCACTGTCATTCACGGTTAAGATTTGCAACAGCCTCCTAAGCACCCTACTCGGCCCCTGTGATCCACAAGCCAGGTCCACGCCGGCCAGGGAAGGGGTAGCCCATCTCGCACAGATGTGGCTCAGATGGTGGTACCTTCCTGGTTGGAACCCTGCAGTGACTTCCAATGCTCTCCCGCTGCTCTGCCTGCAACGTTCCTACCCCCTGCCCAAAGGTTCTTCTAGGACTCTGCCTTAGAGGGTCCTCCTCAGAGAGGTCACCCCTGACCAGTCTGTCCAAGCTGGTCCCCCTGGCTCTTCTCACCACTGCATCCTGTTCTCTTCTAGCAAGTATCCCATTTGTCTGACATTCGTTACCTGTCTCTACCACCTATTTCATGTGCCACAGTCCCATTGTGCCCAGCACAACACACGGCACCCAGACACTCAGTAAGTTGAATGAATGAATAAACAGTGGTTTCCAAGTCCAAACTGGGATCATTTCTCCGGTACTCAAGTTTACAAAAGGTTTTAGAGGAGAAGTGATATTCAACAGGGTAAGTTTTTAAAAATCTCTGTGGACAGAGACCCCTGTCAGCCCTCCTATGGCTGGCTCTCCTCCTTCCTCCAGGTAGGCCAGGCTGCCGGTGTTACCGCTAACCAGCCCAGAAAGTGAAGGAGACACGGCCTGCTGTTGCTGCCCTACTCCTGGGTTCAGGGAGCAGACCTGGCTCAAGCGTCTCAGGCCCAGGGGCCCTGAGCCCATGCAGCACATGGGCACCTGGGACCTGCCCAGCAGCTGGGAGCCTCAGGGCCCTTGCTTTGCAGGTCTCCAGCAGAATGGGGTCAAGGTGGACCTGCCCGCCCCTCTGAGCACTAAGGATGTCTCAGGTAGAAGACAGAGTGGGACTGATAGGCCAGCTTTCTAAGCAAGCTCCCTGTGCTCCTGTGATGCTCTGAAGAGATGTACCGGCCTCTGCCCATCTTCCCAGCTCCCTAGGCAACTCCATAGGGGGCCCAGGGCACTGTCCTCCCCAGACCCCTCCTCCAGTCTCCCACCTATACACCAGGCCTGTGTCTCACCTTGATGTAAGCGTCCAGGGCAGGATGGACACGGCGGGTAGCCAGCCAGATGGACAGGGGGGTGGTGTAGGGGAAGGTGGCTGTCACCACGTGGCTGGGTGCCGGGAAGGAGAACACTTTGAAGCCAAATTTCTGGTAGAGGTGGATGAGCTCGGGGGAGGGTGACTCCTCACCTTCGCTCAGGATGCTGCCCACGGCGCAGCGGCACTTCTCAGGGTACACCTGGTGAGACAGAGAAGGAGTGCAGGTTTGGGCAGAGGAAGGGGGTCCCCAGACCTCTTGCCTTCGCATCAGCTTGGGCCTGGCAGAACTATCAGCTCGGGTACCAGGACTGAGCAAGTTCCCTGCTGGAACACATCCATGGTTCCCTGCCTGTGGCATCCTGCTGTAGGACTCTTAACAAGCCCTTTGTTTATTCCTTCGCCCGAATATGCTGGAGACCTGGGGGGCGTGCAGGGAATGACTTGGCCCTCCTCCAGGAGCCTGGGCAAGGGAAGGCTGGAGAGGACCTTTGACTCTCATGCCCCATACTCCTTCCCCACACAGCCCACCAACAGCATCACTGAGGCCTTCTTGCCCCCTGATGTGACCCTCTGCCCACCTTCACCCCCCTGTGCCATGGGCATGCCTACAGGCCCGCCAGTCCTCAGGCGTGGATGCAGCCCAGCTCTTAGCTCACTTCCCTCCTATCTCCTGGAGGAGAGCAGCCCTCACTGGCAGAGAAATTGTGGCTCGCAAAGAGTGGGTCCCAGCAAAACTGGAAGGGGAGAGCAAGGAAAAGAGCCGAGAGCTCTTCAGGGAAGCAAAAGTGTGTGAGTGTGCTCAACAACAACAAAACAAATAAAATTTAGGGGGGAAAAAGTGTGTGTGTGTCTGTCTGGTTTTCAGGGATAAAGAGGCATCTGGCTGGGGAGGGGTGCTGCAGGAAGCGCTGGTCAGGACTAGGGATGGCACTGAACTCTGGGCTGCTGCTGAAACTCTGCGAAGGCATCCTCCCCTAGTCCCTCAGGCAGGGCCAGCCACCGTGACCTGGGCCTCCAGACCCTCTCTCCAATCCAAGCCCATCCCAGGCCCCGCCCCACTGCCCAAGTCACTTCCTGGCTAAGTCTGAGAGCTGGCTCCCCTCCCAGTCTCTCTGGGCCCCTAGCACCTGCACTTCTGCTCCCCTCCCACCTCCCAGAAACCCCAGCCAGTGGGCTCCTACGTGAGCTTCCAATACTTGCCTAGGCCTGACTCGCACTTGTAAGGCCTAGCACCTCCTTCTCCTGGCCTTAGAGTCAGCGGTTCTCTCTTCCCAGTGTGTCCCATGTCTGCCTTCCTGCAGCTGAGTCTGCGAGAGTGCTCAAGCTGAGCCCCCAGGAGCACCGTTCCCGAATCCAGGAGACTCACACAGACCTCATGCTCTCAATTCTTGATTTGAAGACCCCTTTCTCTTTTGCCCCCGGGGACCACTGACCCCTCAATTTAAACAGGTAACTCCCTCCGCCTCTACCTTCTCTCCCCAGTCCACCTTCCCAGCACTGAAAAGTCATTTTCCCTGTTCTCACTTCTGCCCTCCCATTCCGTCCCTTTTCCCTTTCCAAGGTACTACCACGATCCCTTCTCAGCCCTGCTCTGCCTCCTCTATTCTGACCAACTTGGCCTTGTTCTTGGAGTCACGTTTTGCCTGGGACTTGGGCACTAACTGAACCAGTCAAAACCAACTGCCACCGAGTTGACTCCTATGTGTTGACCCTATGTGTTTCAAAATTGAGCTGTGCTCCAAAGGCTTTTCAATGGTTGATTTTCCAGAAGTAGACTGCCAGGACTTTCTTCCAAGGCACCTTGGAGTGAACTCAAAGCTCCAACCTGTCAATTAGCAGTTGAGCATGTTAACCATTTGCACCACCCAAGGACTCCAGGTTCTCAAATCTGAGCAGCCCCTGGGGCTATCCCCAGCCCCTGTGTCTCTAGTTCCCTTGCTGCCCCCTTGAATCCAATGACATCAAGCCTGGAGAGAGGCAGGCCTGGATGTGATCCTGGACAAGTCACTTGGCTTCTCAGAGCCCCAGCTCCTTGATAGCTACTTACAGAACTATCATATTAAACAGTGGTACAGTGGTTAAGCATTCGGCCGCTAACCAAAAGGTCACGAGTTCAAATCCACCAGCTGCTCCTTGGCAGTTCTACTCTGTTCTATAGGGTCACTGTAAGTCAGAATCAACTTAACAGCATTAGTCAGTCAGTCAGTACACGAGGGCTCAGCCTGGGTCCAGCACTCAGAAAATGCCCTATTATTGTTGGTGGTTATTAAGCAGCTGTAACACAGGCCAAATGACTGTCCCTTGGCCTAGAATGCCCATCCACCCAAACCTCTGAATAGTCCTCCCTGCCCATCCTTTAAGCTCAAACACCCTCTTAGGGAACCTTTCAGGGTGGCTTAGTGGTACCGCCCCCAGCACGCACATGTCAGCATTTCACTGTAAACACTCTTGCCCAGATCAAATCTACCTTGCAGCACAGTCACGTCTCTTAGCCTCAAAGCTCCTCCCACTCCACCCACCCAGAGGGGATCGCTGTAGTACCACCTCTCATCTCTAGATGGTGCAACTGCCCCACTCACACTTCAGGACGAGGCTGGTAAGATTTAGCAGCTGGCAGGAGGTTCTAGCAGGCCTCCTGCTGACAGATCAAGGGGCAGTGCCTGCTGCAAAGCCCATGTCCATGTCCCTGACCCTAGCAAGCTGTGCCGTACAGGAAAGACATTCAGTAGAGGTTAGATGGACAAACCGATGCAAGCCACCTGGCCTCTCCTTTCCACCCCTCGTCCTGCCTGGGTTCAGGTGCCAGAGTCTTTCCTGGGATCACTTCAGCAGTCCTCATGGGGCTCCCAAAGGACACCAGAAACACACGGGATCACGCACACTCCTGCTCAAAACCTCTCAATGGCTCCCAATTCACCTTCAGGATGAGACTGAACTCCTAAGCCTGGCACAAAAGGTCCCCCCTTTCTGTAGCCCCAGATCCCAGCAGGGGCCAGAGCCTAGGTGGGCAGGCGCCCACCGAGCGTCTGTGTTGCAGAGGGAGGGAAACATCCAGGCTGTGGCCCAGCCCGCCTGGCCAGCCTCCTCTCCACCACACCCCCGCACATGCCCACAGGGAACTATTTGCATCTCCCCAAACATGCCATGTCCTCCCATGCTTCCTGCCTTTGCGTAAGCTACTTCCTCTGCCTGGAATGTCCTTCTTCACCCTACTCCACAGCCCCTTCTGCCTGGGAAACTACGCCCATCAGCTCACCCTACTCAGAGCCTCCTGCCCCTCCCCGCCAGGCAGCCCTCCTCTCTGATCTCAAATGCCCACACGAGGGCAGTATTGTGCTGCACTGTAATCGATGGCTCTCCTTCCAACTCCAGGCCTCCAGGCAGGAAGGTTCAGGGCTCCCTAGGATCCCTCCAACACAGAAAGCTGTTGGGGCATGCTCAGCAATGGCTCATGCGCACACACACATGCACACACAGGTCTCGCGCCGAGAGAAAACCTCTCCTTCGACCTGGAGAAAGGGAGGGGCTCTCGTCATGATGGAGGGAGGCAGCTAATAAGCAGACAGGGCTCTTGGGATCCTGGAGGTGAGCTGGGCACAGGTGCCCCCTTCCTGTCTGAACAATTCCCAACTACACAGGAGAGGACTTCTTGCCCCCTCCTGGTGGTCAGGGACTAAAAGGGAGTCCAGGAGGTAACTCAGCAAGCCCACCACCTGCCAAACAGCCCCATGGCAGGCTGGAGCCCGGAGGTGGCTGAACCAGGCACCAGCAAGGAGATGGGACAAGTTCTAAGATAAGCCACAGAATGGCAAGCCTGGTTCAGGGGCATGGGAAGGCTCCTCCTGGCTCCTAGGAGAACACAAGTCCACACCTGGGGAATGGCCCACTGAGGTTGTCGAAGGGCCCGGGAGGTGGGGGTGTCCTGATAAGGCCCCACCCACTCTGGTCCAATGCAATGTTTTAACTTGGCCCTAACCCTGGAATGTCAGCCTGGGCCTCCCAGTTCCACCTGCTTGCTCCCTTTCCTCCTTGTATTAATCATTTCTTTGGACGGTACCTGTGACCAGAACTAGCACCAGCAATGATCCATGCCAGTGAGACAAGGCAGAGGCCAGACCCACCACCACTCTGGGTAAAGGTAAGGCCACCCAGGATTTCCCTTTAATGCAAGAGTACCAGGAAGGAGGTAGGAGCAGGCCAGGCCCCAGAGCATCTCCTTCAAGGCTGCAAGGCCCCCCCGAGTCCTAGCGCTGCAGAAAGGGGGAGTCTTCTTAGAACCTGAAGCTTCCAGGTATGAGCTGGTCCTAGGACTGGCCCCACTGCCCTTTCCAGAGGGGCCTCACAGTGCCTGCCAGCCTGTCGCGTGAGGTCACAGTGGAGAGAGCCACCTCAGGGCCTGCCCAGTCAACAGCTCAATAAGTCCAGGAACTAGACAAGGTCAGTATCTCCTAGGATCCAGAAAGGAGAAATGGAGTCAGCTGGCACAGATCAAACCCAGCCCTCAGGTTCAGCAGAAATGGCCAGCCCCAGGCCCACAATCTACATGGGCAGCTGCACCACCTTCCAATGCCAGGCCCCAGAGGGCTGCCTTGACCCCCAACCCACCCGGTCCAGAGCTGCCAAGGTAAGGAGAGAACTAGGGGCAGTGCCCGCCATTTCCACTGGTGCCCCTCAGGGGAAGGAGCAGCTATATCTGCCTATTATTAGCAGGTGGACACCAGGCCTCTTAAGTGCTACAGGACCAAGCCCCACCTGTCCCCGAGTACGCAAACACACTGGAGCAGGCAGCAAGCAGGACGTGAGCAGACGAAGACAGCCAGGCCAGGCCAGGACCAATACTTCAGACTCCAGAAGAGGTGAGGAAGACAGGCACAACAGCAGGACGCCAATCCCCAAAGGGTCGTCTGGGGGATTTCTGGGAGCTCCCATCCAGAAGTGTTTCAGGAACCTTCCTCATTCCCCCCAGAAGCATAAACCTAACAACAGCTGATATCTGACAAGGTGCTTACCACCTGCCCCAGCCGCTGCCTTCCACGCAGCAGCTCATAAATCCCAACAAAAGCCCTGTGCAGCAGGTTTTGTTATCAACCCTCTTCCTGAGGTTCAGAGCCAAGCCACTCAGCAAAGGTCACTCAGCCTCCATCTGACCTCAGTGCCTGTGCGAAGGGCAAGGGGGGTCATCTCCACACACACTGAGGGAGTGGGGATGGGGCACAGGCCTAAGTCAGAGCTCTCACCAGGTAAGCCTCAACCCCTGTAGACTAGGGGGGCCCGAGGCTTGGCTCTCACAGGACTGAGGGGAAGAGGGGGACTTCAATAGCAGTCTAGCTTTCCAAAGGCAGAATCCAAAGAGGTCTCCAGTCCCCCCGGCCACTCCTTGACTGGAGCAGATGCTCCCTCCTGGGTGGTGAATATAAGCGACAGATCCAGGCTGAAGTGGCTGCCCTGCCCTGCTTGCCTCAGCCAGGCTCCCCAAGAGGGCGGGCAGGCAGGTTGCTTCAGCCCCAAACAGTAGTGGAGGTGGTGGCAGCAGAAGGGGGGGGCAGAAGGTGGGGACCATGGGTATGGTGACAACAGCCTGGCCACGAGGGGCTGTCCACAGGCCAGAGTTGGTCAGGAACAAGCGAGACGCTCAGAGTCCTTCAAGCTCGTTCCTGCCCCCACAACACCCAAGACACCCAGAGGGGCCAGGCCCAGGAGGAGGGGCTAAAGTCACTTTCTGAGCCTCAGCCTCCACCTCAGAAACAGGGCTGAGGGCAGAGCACTTTCCCACTCAAGTGGGCAAGGGCAGGGCCGAACTGGACCATTGTGTGTGTGCATCTGCATGTGTGTATGTGCAGATCTGTAAAGAGGAAGCGGCCTACATGCTTCCTCCCACCCCTCCACCCCCACCGACCATGCCAAGGCCCCCAGGTATGGGGAACGGACTCCCTCCTTCTGCCCCACAGGAACTACTCGCTCAGGCCTTGCAGCCTCTTCCCACAAGGGGCTCCAACACATAAGACTCGAGTAGCATGTGATATGAGAGGGTTCACAGCAACCACCACTATTCTGCCTTGTGGTGCGCCCTTTCCTGTACCACTTCCTAGAGTGGGGAGATCCCAGCCCCACAGCCAGACCAGGTGGGGCCTCAGCAGGCCTTGGCGAGCCACCAGCCTCCCCCCTGCCCAGCTGACATCAGGTGTGGGGTGTGGCTAGGGAGCTGTCAGTCCATACTTCATGAGGGTGGCAGCATCCAAAAGCAGGCGGTGACCTCTAACCTGGCCATCGCTACCCAACACAGAGCCTGGAGCAACCTCACTTCCTCGGCACACTCACAGAGAAGCAGATTCTGGCTTCTGTTGTGCTAGGCCGGGGAGGGAGGAGGTATGGGGATAGGACACTCTCAACTGCCCAGGCTACATCCTGTCCCTTCCTTCTGAGAAGCAGAATCTGCAGTGCCCCATGCTGGACACTGCAGGGGAAGGCAGCCTAGGAGGCAGAAAGCTTAGGTCCTCAGCCTTCCCCAGGACCAGGATGGGGCCTCTCCTCCAGTCTCCCCTGTCCACACTGTCCCCTATCCATAGCCGTACTGAGAAGTCCTGAGGGCTGGGTCCCATGGTCCCTACCATGCCAGGGTCTGGCACAAACTAGGTGCTCCAACAGTTGAATGAAAACAAAACATCACGCGTGAACTGTTTGAGACTGGTTTTTCAGCTCTGAACTTCAGTCTCCTCCTCTATAAAATCAGCAGGGTGGACTAGGAGGCCTCAGGTCCCTGCAGATCAGACAGTCTGTGACAGCCACAAGCACCTGATGCCTGGGAGTCCATGTTTCCCTGGACCTTTCAGGATCTCCATCAGGCACAGAATGCACTGCCCAGCTCCCACAGCAGGCAAGGGCCCAAGCATCCCTGAGCTTTCCCAGGTGTTAGGTGTAACCCAGCTCTGAATGGGGACACAGCTGTCTCCCAGAGTGACCCATGACTGGGACAGGCAGGATCAGAAGGGTCATCTTGTCCTGTTGGTCCATCCTTCTGCTAACCAGATGGCCACAGTCAGGCCAAGGATTTAGGCCTGGATCGTAAGAGCTCAGCCTGACCCCTCAGCACACCCGAATATGAGCATTTCTTCCACATTTTTTCTGCTGTTGTTAAACATCTGTTGAGGGCCAGTGCTGGAATGAATGCCTCACCTGTGTCACTTAATTTAACCCTCGCCAGCCTACCTATGAAGCAAGTATTTTACCAGCACTCTGCAAATGAGGAAATGGAGGCTCAGAGAGGTTACATGATGTGCCCAAGATCACACAGCTGGACAGTGACAGGATGGCCTGGAACCCAGGACTGCCAACCCCAAGGCTATGCCCCTAGGCTATGGCCTGCCAGACTGGCACCCAATTCAGGCCATGCTCAACCAATCCTAGACACCCAGGACCCGCCCTGTGGGGTCCTCCACACCTATGGGACAGCCGCAGAGTAGGCTTCCTAGAGGCAGGGGCTGAGCCAGGATGCCATGGGGAGAGTGACCGATCCAGGGTTCCTTCATCTCACACTTCCCTGGACCAGCCTCCAGTGCTGACCCCAGGGTATCCTGCAGCCTTGGCCTTTTCCCATCCTGGAATTAGCACCTCCAACCCAAGAGGCAGCATGCTGCTTCCAGAACAGGAAGACATGCCAATGAGGAAAGAGACAGCCGCAAGTATTCTCCCTCCCACTGGGGCCTCGCAGAGGGTTCCACCTCGGCCAGGTGTGGAAGGAGGGGCAGAAGAAGAATGGGGACTTATACAACAGACCCCTGCAGGGGTGGGGGCTGGGCATCTGCTCTAGGAACTTCCCACAGCCCAGTGTCTGCCCCATCCCACTCGGGCCTCAATGTTCTTGACTCCATCACCATCACATAACCTCAAAACCTCAGGCAATTCCACTCATCCCTCAACCAGCCAAATGCCAGCTCCTGACCCAGCCCACATCACCTCTCACCTGGGCCTGGTCCAACCTCTGGCCTCTCTGCGTCATCTCCTCCCCTCCACCTGCTCTCTCCATTTAGTTTCCTAAAACAAAGGCAGCAAACTGTGCCATACCCTTCTTCCCAAGCTGCCATGACTTCCCACAACCTGGCCCAGTAAACCCTTCTACCTCCTTCTCCACCACAAATCCACTGGCCATTCTTCCTCTGTTACCCTATGTCCTCGGCCTTTGCTCTTGCAGTTCCCTTAGCCAGGGAGAGCAAAATTCTTCCCATATGAGAAGGCCCACCTCTTCACTGATTCCCTCTAGCAGACTGGAGGCACCCTCCCTAAGTCCGCAGCTCAAAGCTCTGTGGGCATTGAACAAGTATCTTGTTGGAGAATCAACATTTGTGTGGAGATGACTTGCCAACCACAAGGAGCTTCCTGAGGGCAGGGCCAGGTCTGATTCATCTCTGGAGTGAGGGTGTCAAGCAGAGCCTGGCACAGAGAGGGAGTCAGCACACCCTTGTTTCGAGTGAGCGTCCCAGTGAGGCCGGGACCCACGAGCTCCAAGGAGGCCTGGGAGGTCAGTGGGTGAACTGTAGGGCTCACCTGCTTGAGTTCTCCAGGCAAAGAACATGGAGCTGGGGATGCCAAATGTTTGCTTGGCATGGCGTGGAACCAGGCTAGGGGCTGGGGCTGGAGACGTTGATGAACCCTTGACAGAGCTGTGAGCCCATCCAGCTGTAGGCAGTACCACCCCACGGCATGGCAGGCGGCCACAATGGCAAGCCCTGACTCACTGCAGGCTCTAAGTGTAGCCAGACGCCCACAGGGTGCCAGTGATACTGCTGGGTGAGTCTCTGGCCCCAGCATCCTGGGCATGTGGGCAGCTCCCTGGCCCACTTGCCCCGAGGCCCTCCCCTCCCAACAAGGCACCTTGACGACCAAGGAGACACCGTATCATTGGGCCAGTGACCACCAGAACAGCTACAGAGGTAGGAGTCTAAGCCCAAGACCAAGTGCTGCCCTTTGAGTCCTCACAGACCTCCAGCCACGAACCAAAGACTTGACCCCAAACACAGGGCAGAGTCTGAGCAGCCTGGCCTTAGCACGCTGGCCCCAAATGGAAATGGAAGAGAGAAGGATGGCAAGAAGAGGAAACATGGGAGCAAAGCCCCAGCAGAGGCGAGGGACTCACAGTGGTGTGGTCACTGCACTCAGAGGTCCATGGGTAACCATGAGCCAGAGGAACCAGACCTGCACAGTAACAAGCCAGCACATGGATGCCTGGAGCAGATACTCAGGCTAAATCTGGAAAGGGCCTCGAGCCACATGGTCTGCAGACCCAGCTCAGAAGTGTTCCCACCCTTTCCTCAGAAACCAAAACTCCCCTCCCCCAACAAGCCCTGTTCCAGGTCTGCCCATGGGGTGGAACCCCAGCCCAGGCACAGAAGGTTCCTTACCATGTGAGGGTTGTCATAGTAGACAGCAACGGAGCGGAGCTTGGGGGAGATGCTGCAACTCTCGGTGAAAAGGTGCCCAGTCTCGCCATAGGACCCCTTGTGGAACTTGTAGGCCACAGTGATGTTCCGGATCGGGGGTGAGCCAGCACTCACCGCCACCTCAGCCAGCAGCCCTGAGTACCCGGCGAAGGCCAGCAGTGTCAGCAGCAGTAGTAGAGTCAGGGCCCCAATCAGGCCCAGTAGCAGCAAGTCCGACATGGCTCTGGGCCCCCCACGCCGTGCCCCAAGGCAGCTGCAAAGGAGACAGAGGCGAAAGGAGGCTGGCAGCCTGTTCTGACCGACGTGCCCACCTGCCCGGCAGCGGGTTCTGGCCCCGTCTCAGCCCTGCCTTGGGTGCTCTGACCAGGAGGAGGAGGGGCCAAAGGTGTTTTTACACTTACAGTGACCTGGAAGAGAGCTACAAAGCATGACAGAAACCACAAGCCTCTTTATTTCTTAATCACAATAGCTAAGGCTCTCAGAGCAGCTGCGCCTGTCCACTGGCAGCCCTAGTCACACCTGGGGAAACTGAGTCATAGAGGGGCCCAGCGGTGAGCCAGCCAGGGCGCCTGAGAGCTTACTCCGGGCCCTAGCCAGCCTCCCCAAGACAGGCCAGAGGCCAGACAGCCTGCCTTTTCCCCTATCACTTCTTTCTTCCCACAGCTGAGCCACACTATCAGCCCAGCCTCAAGCCTCATGGACCAGCGCCAGAGGGAGAACAGGCAAACGCCAGGATCCAAAGACTTATTAACAGAGAAACCACGAGGAGCAAAACCCTAGGGGAAAAATGTGCCACAGAGAATTTCATAGGAAAGTCTCCTTTGCTAATCATATTGGCCTGTGGAGACCTTGCTACCCAGCAAGATCATCCATCCGGAACCAGGGGAGACCAGATCCAAACAGCCTCAGCAGTCAGAACAAAGTCCAGCACTAAGCTTCCCACACTTGAGCCACCAGGCTAACAAACTTCATTCCATTTGTTAGGGACTGAATTGTGTCCCCCTAAAATATATGCTGGAATCATAACCCCCTTATCTATGGATGTATTCCCACTAAGGAATAGGGTTTTCTCTGTTATGTTAATGAGGCCGTATCGTGTATGGTGTGTCTTAAACCTAATGACTTTAGAGACATAAAAACAGTGGATTAGACACCAAGCAAAGCCAATACAAATGGGGGAAAGACAGATGCCACGTAAAACTGAGGAACAGCAGCTGAAAGAGACAAAGATGTTCCCCCGGAGTGGAGAGAGAGAAGCTTCCCCTGGAGTTACTGCCCTGAATTTGGACTTCTGGCCTCCTAAAGTATGAGAAAATAAATTTCTGTTCCTTAAAGCCATTACTTGTGGTATGTCTGAGACAGCAGCACTAACTAGGTAACTAACTAAGACACAACTTTTCCAGCCCATAGAAGATTAGAAGCAGAAAAAGGAAGGGGGAAATACTGCTAAAAGTGGAAAAACAGTTACCCATAAGAGGCAGAGAAGCTATACAAGTACAGGCCCAGGAACAAAACACAGAGCAAGTGTACAAGCCACTTGAGGCAGACCGCCCAGCCTTCTACACAGCGTGAGGTCAGAGACCTAGGCCGCTTATAGAGAGCTTGACCTGAGTAGCCCGTGAGGAAAGAAAGTCACAGCACAGAGAAGACTTTTAGGAGGCAGGGAAACAGGCGACCCACTGGGGGATCATTCTCTCCCCAAGCATTTAAAATTAATATTTAAAATTTAACAGGTTTTGGAGCTGAAAAGGCAACACTTCAGCTTTATGGAAAATTTAGTTCTATGGAATTTGTTTCCCATGGGTTTCTGGGTATCATGATTTTACGCTAAAAAATTGTCTTTAACGTCAAAGAGCACACAGCGTTTGCCTCACACGGGCAAAATAAATTTCTACACCTTCTTCAGTATCATGACACTGAGGTGCCTGTCACACTGGTCTTCTCACCCATCGGTGCTCCTGCCCATCAATTTCATTATCCTTTTTATACCCATTCCCTGTCCTACTCATTTGCCTTGTTAGTTTCATCCCTGTTTTCTTTGATGATAAATCTTTCACTGAGCGCTTACTATCTGCCCATTGCCATTGAGTCAATTCTGACTCATAGCAATTCTATAGGACAGAGTAGAACTGCCCCATAGGGTTTCCAAGGAGCAGCTGATGGATTCAAACTGCCGACCTTTTGGTTAGCAGCCAAGCTCTTAACCACTGTGCCACCAGGGCTCCCACTATATGCCAAGCACTGTCTAAATGTTGAAACATAGCTACTTCATTAATCCGCACAGCAATCCAGAAGGGTAGGTACAGGAAATGAGTGATTAGAGATTAAGACTTGCTTAATGTCGCACAAATATTAGAAGAGCCAACTGGATCAAAATGCAGGTAACGGGGAACCCAGGAAGTCTGACTCCAGGCCCCCATTTCCACTTTCTCCTTCCTTGTGGCAGGCTTCTAGAATGACCATGTTGGACATCTCTGAACCCAAGGCTGGAAGCTCTCAATATCCAGGCCCCCACTTGACCTGGGAGTAACTAACGGACCCTCCCAGCTACAAACTTCTTGTCCCCTCAAGGGAACTTAGTTCCTACATTTCTCTTCCTCTCATGTCCTAAACTGCTGAGAAAGGGGGAAAATGCACCTTGAGGGCCCCGGAGCCTTGGTCAACACGGGAAGGAAGAGGGAAAATGGAATCTCTTCCACATCAAGAGAAAGGGAGGAGAAAGGCTAGGGAGACTCACCTAAAAAGTCAGGCTCACTTTTAGCAGCTCATGGCGTCCAGTCCTGCAGATGCCAAGTGCTCTGGTGCTGGGGACAGAAAGAACAGTCAGTGACAACCCGCCTCCCCGAGGAAATAACCACTATGCTGGGCACTACGCCTTGGCTGCTCCTTTTTCAGGGAAAGTTCACCGGTGCCTCTATACTGCCCTCCCTCCCCCGTCTGATCCTCAGACCCCTTAGGAGAATCAGGAGCCAAAACCAGCCTCGTAATGTCAGACTTGTCTTGAGGTCTCTGCTCAGGTCCCCGTCCTTGGAAATCCGCAGCCACTCCATCTGGTCCTAAAAAAGCCCCAGCCTGTGCTCCCTCTCTGGCCTCGGTTTCCCCTCGGGTAAGAGGCCCGGCGTGGATGCCTCGGTCCGGGTGCAGGCGTCAGGGAGGGCTGTCCCGCGCCAGCTTCCTGGTGCTGCTCACTTGCGCGGGGGCACGCCCTTAAAGTGACCCGCCGCTGGGAAAACTTCGGCGCCAGCGGCGAGAGGGAAGACCGCGACTCCGAGGGGCCAGCGCGGGGACGACGGCGACGCTGCCCCCACCCTGAGCTTTCAGCCCCTGCTCACCCAGTTCCTTTCACCTCAGCCACGACCTCACGAGGCCCCACGCACCTCCAGCAACAACTTAAGGAACTCTAAAACTTTGCAGGCCGGGCTGCAAGGCGCGGCCTCTGGGGACGGGGTCGGAGTTAAAGCACAGCTCATGCCTCAGTTTCCCTCCGACTCCACGGCCCCGGAGCCAGGCCTGTACCCGCAGCCGAGACAGTGGGAAGAGGGTCCCGAGTGGTAGGGGCTGGCCCAAGGTCGCGTCCCAGCCTGGACCCCCGAACCCGACCGGGACCAGCTGTGGGGCAAGACAAGATGCAATGGGCGGTCCGGGCCGCGAGCAACACGGAGGGGGCTCCCGCTGGGGGCCCTGAGGCCGCGGCCTGGCGAGCAGGGTCTTCAGGTGCGCGGCGCGCTTGGAGCCGCCGCGGCATGAACGCCTTCCCTCGGGCCCAGCCCTCACCTTTGCGGCCGCCCGCCGTGGACCCTAGACCGCTCCGGCGGCTCCCGGATGGGTTGCGGGGCCTGGGCGCGTTCGCCGGGCACGCTCGCTCCGCCCCCTCTCGCGGCGGAACGTGGCCATGGCCATGGGCGCGTGCGCCCGGGACCTGGAGGGCGGAGGCCTGCCCGGGCCCGTTTCCATAGCAACGGGCGTGCGCCAATCCTCGGCAGCTGGCAGGGGCGGAGCCCACCGCGTAACCTCCCGCCTCCAACAAACTTCAGGGTTGCTGGGGGAGGGGGGCGGTGCGCCTTAGCAACAACCCCAAGGCAGCTGGGTTGGCGGGAGCACCACAACGAAGATCTGGCCCCAGGAGAAAAGGCAAGTCAGCCCGGTGGCCCGCAGCGGAGGCTAGGGTGAGGAAGCTGGGACCGGGGAGGCGTGTTTGGAGGGGTTAGGGAGGGGCAGCACAGCAGTATAAGCCTGTGACATTTGTACTACTCATGGTCCCGCTACATTTTCTCACTGAGGTTTCGCGACAGTCTTGGAACCAGACCAAGGCGGAGCCACTTGCTTCCGTGTTACAGCTGAGGAAGCTGAGGCTCAACCTGGGTTCAGGGAAGACGCTGGTGGACCCAACCTCTGCACAGACAAAATACCCGCTTCCTGCCTCCCACCCCTCCACCTCCAACCAGAGCACAGGGGTGATGCTGGGGTTACTGAGTGAACAAAACCAAGGCCTTGCCTTCCTGAAGCTCCAGGGAGTGTTCCAGGGAGATGACCCCCTTCCAGGCGCTTCCCTTGGTGCCCCGGATGTTGGTCACTTAACCTGGAGAATGGCTGGAGGAGGCTGGTCTGCTCTTCTGGCTTAGCCTACCCTAGGTGACTCTCAGGTCAACCGTAAGCTCTTTCCAAACACAATCTTCAGCTATATCTGAGCACTTACCAACTACAAAGCACTCTGCTAGGGCCCCAAAGATAAAACCCTGCCCTCCTGAGAGGCCCAGTCTTGTGGTGGTGGGGGGTTGGGGAAAGGACAGCCATGCTCACAAGCTCAGCTACAAGACAGGCTGGACCAAGAGCCACCTTGGTGATCTGATGTTGAGCCATGATGTTTGGGAGGGAGATCACTCTAATGGGATACCAGGAAGGCAGCTTTGGAAAAAGTCAGCAGCCATGGATTGGGTACATCTCGTGGATCCCCCACCACCACCAGTGCACTAGCAACGGACAGGCGAGGTGCTTATAAACCTGGCTTCCTTTCTCTCTACTTCACATTTTTTCTTCCACAGGCAGGAAAGATTGATTCTTACCCTCTGGGCAGAGTGGGGCAGCCGGTCTCTCGCAGGCGCTCTGGGGTGGGCTGGCATGGTCATGGCAGTTCTGTTTTGCCTATGAACGTCAGGCACAGGATCAAACCCTTCAGGTGTTCCAGGCTGGTGGGCTATATGCTTGGAACCACTTCCTGTGACACAAGGAGGGGCCAGGGCACTGGCTCAGAGACCAACAGCCACTGCCGGAAGGGTTTGCACATTTAACTCTTCTTCTCAGAAGCTGATGAGCTTCTTCCGGGAAACCGTTGTCTGGAGCTGCCCTTACCTCATCTTGTCCTGTCTGCTGACTTTGTTTAGTATGGTTGGAGAGCACCAGTGCCTCCATTGGAGGGGAATCTGCCTGTGACTGGGACTGCAGGCCATCAGCCAGCCAGGCTTCATCTCAGGCTGCTCCCAACAGTGGAAGCACAGCCCTTGGCAGGATCCTCGTAAGGCCTCAACTGGCCACCAGAAGGCAGCAGGCTACTTTGCAAGGCACTTTCTTCTCTGTAGCCCAGCGGTCTGAGTTAGTTAACTATCTATCTGCCTCACCCACACTTCACTCCCAGTCTGGTCTCCCAATAGCACAAATTCTCCTCTCATCCCCATGAGCCCAGACTTGGCCTTTATCTCCTCTTCCCTTCCTCTGTTCAAAGAATCCCCACAGAAACGCTTTAATTCTCCCTTAGTAAATGTCCAGATTGTTTCCCCAGGGTCTGTCCCATTAAAGGAACTGTTGGGAGTGGACCGTGCCTTCCCTCCCCCACCCCCTACACACTCCAATGCCTTGGTTAGCTCTCTGAGCCAGTAGCTAGATCCTCCACATTGGATGATAATTGGTGAATGCAGATACAGTTTTAAATGCTCTGCAAACCCTGCCTCTTGACAATCACAGACACACCATCCCCTGCCCTCTGAAAGCAGGGATGTGGCACCTGATCCCCGGCCACTCAGAGCCAGCCAGGACTGCACCTGCAGGACCTGCCAAGGCTGAGGACCAGCTTGCCGCAAGCCACTCCAGCAGGCTTTGCTGTTTCCCCTAGAGCCCTGGAAATGTGGTCCTCTTCAGGTGATCAAAAGCAGAAAAAGCCTAGTGAATTCCACTGCACCAAAGAGCCTGCCAGCAGTGTGCCCTCTCTTCCCACCTATCCCACTCCCCAAGTGTCATCCAGTGCCCACTACGTTCTAAGTTATATTCCTTGCACCACCACCCGGCCAAACCACTGTCCAGACAATTCCTTGATCAAACAACACTGCCTTGAGTTTAAATTTTATTTTACAAAAAGAGAAATAAAGAAAACTGATAGGCAGTTATACTGACTTACAATTGTTCTGTTTGCTTCTTTAAAAAAGTGACATGAAACACAAGTAAAAATAAATACGTCGTAGAAACAGCCAGTTGCCCAGTCTCTGGAGCAGGAACGCCTGCCCTGCCAAGAGAGGAGGGAAGCCCATGATCACACCAGCAGCCGGTACACCCAGCCACTGACACTCCTCAAAGCTAGGTGTAGGTCTCAGGGGGCATCCTGAGGAAAGAAGACGGAAAACCAAAGCCAAGTGCCAGGTCCCTGGGCTACCTCATCTCCCCCTACTCCTCCTGGCAGCAGTGTGGCCTTAGTGGTTATCCATTGCAACCCCCTCAACACACCTGCACCCCCTTTCCCCTGACACCTCTGGAGAGGGAACAGCAGAAAACCAGTCTTGGGCAGGCTGAGGAGATTCTCCTGTTGAGTCCCCAGCCCACCCTAAGTAACACAACCAGGTAACAGTTTACACCAAGGCGCACGTACGCGCGCGCACACACACACGCACGCACGCACGCACACACTGTGGGCTGAGCTCTCTTCCAGGGAGGGTTCTGGGTCAGGTCACAGTATGAGGTCCCCTCTTCTGAATATTACCCCAGTAATGGAAATGGAGAGTACCCAAACCTCCCCAGCCCTCTGCACTGCACTCTGTGACCAGCCTGGCTACCCAATGCACTGGATTACTACATCAAATAGACCTGTGAGAGGGGAAAGGGGTAGACTCAGGACCCTGAAGAGCAAAGCTGACACTGCTTGCTCAGAAAGTTCATTGTTTTAAGACTCGGCAATTCATAAAAGGCCCAGGGCCAAGGTAGTGGCACAGAACAGACAGTAAGGTCACAGAGGAATACACAGAACAGAAGAGTCAGGAGAAGGGGAACAGAGTTGGAAGGTGACTAACGGGCAACAGGGCCTTCTCACAGACAGGCCATGAGGTGCCAATTTCCTGGGAACAGTCAGCAGAGGGTCAGAAAGTCTCCTGGGTGTCCTCCGGGAAGAGGACCTCTGCTCTTGGGAATTTTGGTGGGTCAAAGCCACTTTGCTGGGTACACTGGAGGCCATGGCTCAGAAGGGAGAGACTGGTCTCCTGAGAAATCACAGGGAGCTGGGAGGCAGGAGGCAAGGGGCCAAATCCAGGAACACTAGGGACAAGGAATGTAAAGTATCCAGAAGACTTTCTCTGTGGGATGAGGACTCGGTTCCAGAGCGATGCAGGGTTAAACAGACTGAGGAGAGGGTCCTGCTCTGCTGACAGTTTTGGGAGTGACAGTTTCACCCAGACCACTGAAGTTTGGTTGTGTTTCAACCAATCAGCAAAACTAGACTTTCAACACTACCCCAGCTCTTTGCTTCATGCACCTGAAGTGGGAAATTTCATATTGAGCTGAGACAAGTATATAAAGACTCCACACACTAATTCCTAGGGAGGAGAGTTCCAAGGACCACATAGAGTTATCCTTAAGTCAGCAGACGATGAGATGAATGCTTAAGAAGCACAAATCTAGGGGTAAGGACTTTGCAGATATCCAGTCTGAAGGAACAGTTCTGATCCAACATGGTTCATTTATTTTTTTACTTAAATGGCTACCTTATCCCTGTCCAAATTTTATCCACGAAGACATTAAGAAAAGGAAATCAAGCATCACTACGAATGGTATTCCTGAATCATTACAATAGTCCAGTGGTCTGTAGGCTGAGAACCTAGGCTAAACTAGATGGACGAGGCTTGTGAGGCCCTTGAAACAGCCTGTGGAAGACAATAGTGAGGGAAAATGCCCAGGCCTGGTCTTGTGCCCTCACTCCTGTCACCATTCTCCCCTCACTCAGGCCTCAACGGTGGGTAGAAGCCACCACATGTTCAAACCGAAAATACGGTTCTTAGGTTCTGAGACATCTCCTGCTTCCCTCACACACTCGCTCCTGTTTGGTGTGTGTGCACATTTGCCTACCAGCACAGAGAGACAACAGAAAAGTCAGGCAAGTGTTTTCAGGTTCATTAAAAAACAAACAAAATGAAACAAAACCCCCCAAACATGGAAATAGTAGCACTCCAAATTCCCGTGTTTCCACACCCCCCTCCCCGCTCCACACCCCCCTGCAACCCCTCTTCACGTACACACAATATAAGCTGCACATATCAGAGAAAGCCTTCTCTAGCCAGGTCAGCTTCCCAGAATTATGGCCTCTCCCAAGTTGAAGTAAGACCCAGTCTCTGGAACCACCAGGTAGACAGCAGGCATCTCAGAACACCCATTCGCTTCCTGGCAATTTCAAAAGCCCCTCTATGCAGTGAATGGTTTCTGTTCCCTGTTCAGATGGGTTCTGGATTCTCAGAGCCTACTGCAGTGACTTCCTAGAAGTGAACACAGAAACAGCCCTCCCTCCCTCAGCCACACACACACACGCACGCACACACACACGCACACACTCCTCCGGGATCCCAGTGCTCC